TTTCTAGACAAGCTAGAACATAACCACGAGGCTTCAGTTAACTTGGTCTACTAGCCTTCCAGTTCTGCCACGTAAGGGAAGTTACCAAAATTAAGAAAAGCGCAAAATCTTAATAAAACCGTGTAGAAACATTCAAGGACTTATTTAGCTCAGTCACTAAACAAGTACATGCCTTCTGGACTAAGAACAGCTATGTACGTTCAAGCTCTGAAGCACGACCTAACCGCAGTTTTTAGAGGCCAGAGAAAAGCAGGGAAGGCAACGACAGGCACCTGGCCCTGTTCTCACCCACCCTCTCGTGCTGGGACACAGCACTGTAACACAGCACAGGGGCCTGCCTCGCTTCACAGAATTCTGAATTTTCTTTGGTTTAAACCCAGCAACACACTTCAAGTGTTCTGAGTATCTTCAGACTTTGTTGGCTTAATTTTTCATAAACAGTCAATTACTCTAAACAGACCATATTCTGATTGCTGAGAATTTAGTCTCATTGGGCCCCATTTCTACCACACACAGGTGTCTCCTCCAACTGCTTCCTAATCTAAAGGAGCCTTAACGTAGCCAAATCCTTATGTAAAGACCTGACAGTCAGTCCAAATAAGACCATTATACTGTTTCCAGAATGTAGTTATTCATTTCAATAACATCTTTCTACTCCTAGCTCCAGGACTCAAAGTATAAATAGTACCTAAATTTGAATGTTTGGCTGTTCCTACCCCAAACTGAAGCTTGAAATACAAGGTTTGCCTCCTACAGGTTTGCTGTAAGGACTGATTGCAACAGAAGGAAAGGGTGAACACAAATAGTACTTCATATAACCACTCGCACCATTTATGGTACTCCCGCCTAAGAGACTCACGGCATTCTGAAGACACAGGATGAGATCATTTGAGATCTGATCCCAGCATCTATTTTGTGTCTCTACTGGACAACTCTACTAATCAAAGTGACTGTACAATAGCTGTTAATGTTGTTTGTAGAGTGCCATTTGATACTGTCACCACACTGAATTCCTTCTTCATAGGTGTTGATGTATTATGTCAGGAATCTTTTGCAAAGCTTTGCAAAGTTACCCACTCCTGGCGGGTAATATACTACAATATAAAACAGGAGTCATCCCAGCAGCCTCTAAGCAGCACACGTTTCAGATTTTCCAGTGGTTTGCTTTTGTCTGTCAGATACCAACAGGAGGCAGGTCAAGTAGAACACAAAGTTGGGAGGTTCTGTCACATTGTGCTATGATGTCTTGCTATGGGGGAAAAAAATTCTTCCTTAGAGGGACATGCAACCTATCTCCAAAGCTTACCACGTGGCTTCACGTCAGTTCTCATATCTACAGTGTTACTTCACTAAAAGTGTGTTTCATCATACAGTAAACATGAATAAAACTGCCAAGATAACTGAGAAAAGGTCAAATAAAAAGAGCATACCAGTAGTCTATTACTCAAATGGATAGCAGCTTTGTATCTTTTAAAGACATGCACAGTCCTTCTAGAGAGGAATTACATGTCAAGAGAAAAGTCATAGTAGTAGCACAAACACTAATTTGTGCTGTGAAGATGACGACTTGGGATGAACCAACTGGCTTTGCAGTGAAGCACAGTGACACTCACATGGTCCCTCACCAGCAGTTAGCCAGGAAGCAACTGTGTCCCCCAGTATGGTGACCAATTCCCACGTATGAGGATTTCATCCCATGCAACGGAAGCCAGACGTGCAAGAGTGTTTTTGGAAACCTAACCCAGACCTGCACCTACAACGTAACAACAGTGCGAGGCCTGAGACCCCAACCCAGCCATGAGGCACCAGAGCCCACTCTGCCTTAGGATACCCCAAGGTCCGCCCACCCTACAGTGCCACTGTGCTGGCAGGGCTGAGCAGTTCAGTCGCTGACACTTTGCAATACTGTGTAGTATTTCCACGTCTCGTTTCCTTACTCATTAGTAATTATAAGACTACTTCGGCCTCTCCAAACATAAGTATGATTCATTATCTGACTTCATTACTAAAATACCTTTTTAACAAATAGTAAAAAGACATTTTACAGAATTTGTCACTTCAGAGCTTGAAGTGAAGTAAGGGGGAGAAGGCAACTTCGAGCTGCAAGGAAGTGCAGGAAGCAGATTAGCTATGTAAAGACAGGGAATAAGCCAAGTCTAAGTTGTTAACAATTATATATAACCAGTCTAGTTTCTAGTTCAAACCGTGCCTACCATTAAGTTTAAAATAGTGAGCATATAGAAGTTTCAGTGCTCTCCAGCAATTCTTCCACCCCTCTCAAATGTGCACCATGACTCATGGCTTATTTTGTTTACTCTGCGTTTCTTAAGCAACTACAGACAGCTAGTTCCTGCTCTCCGTTACACCCAGGTAAGTCTAGCTTATCGCTGTTGATGTCACAGGTTTCATTTCCAATATATCATGTAGCAATTGAGAAGAATTTGACAGATACTCAGATGTATGCTACTAATGAGAGGCATCACACCGATCTTGGGAAAGAGCTTGGAACTTCAATTCTAAGTCGCTCCAAACTTAAGAAACATGCCACTTGTGTCTCAGCGCTCTCAGCAAATTATATGGGAAGACCACTCTTGTTAAACCCCAGAAAATTAACTGGTCACTTACTCCCATGTTTTCAATGTAAGTAAAAACCCCAAATTCCTACAGTCAAACTGGTACAACAGGTTTTCAACAATGTGTATATAATGTGTGACTGAAATTCGCAACTAGCGTGCTGCTAATACTGACAACTCTCATGGATAAGCAAACAGACCAAACTGTCCCTCCTTCATACACCAAAAACTGTGAACATAAACTGTACTTATTGTAAAGATGATTTTGACCAGAAGCAGTATTGAAGTGGAAGTGCGCTTTCATTTATGCTCTCACATAAGCATCATTCAACTCAAGAGGCCTGCTGAATACTTTTCCATTAAGTCTACGAAACAGAGAATGACATATGCCAAAAAGAGGTAAAATAGCGACAACGTAATGAAATCATGGGAAAGAATTGGCAGGCTGTCCCACAATTTGTGTAAGGTCACTGGAATTGAATTATTGACCCAACACATCTCTCAACACTGCAGTCAAAATTTAAGTCCGCTTTCCTGAACCTCTTTCAAAAAGCATGCAAGGGCTAGTACAGGCACAGCAGTGAAATGCCATCTTCAGGGGAGTTTTTGATTGGATATGAGGAAAAATTTCTTTACTGAAAGAGTGGTCAAGCATTGGAACAGGCTGCCCAGAGAAGTGGTGGAGTCACCATCCCTGGAGGTGTTCAAAAGATGTGTAGGCATGGCACTTCGGGACATGGTTTAGTAGGCATGGTGGTGTTGGCTTGACGATTGGACTAGATGATCTTGGAGGTCTTGTCCAACCTTAATGATTCTATGATTCTATAACCATTCTTTATACTGAAATAAAGAAGAGGACTATTACGGTAATAGCTCCGGCACAGATCTCAGCTGTACCCATTCAGCCTAACTGAACCAATGCATGCCTTTTCAGCCCAAACTTCCCTTACCACACAAATACTTATGCCTACAGAACTTTGTATTAAATGATTGTATATTCTGATCCCTGGGGATTACTGAAAACAACTAGGACAGAAAAGCTCCTCTTCCAGGTACAGGTCAAATTCGCTAGAGTAACTCTGCATTGCACTGGAAAGCTTGATGGCTCGTGAGGGAACAACATTGGTAACAGGGGACAAAGGAATTTAATAGTCCCACCCAATCACTGCAGAATCCACAGCCCGAGAAGAGCATACTGCCTGTTTCATGGTTTGATGGCTGCTGATACATGTGTGCATTTTCAATTGGAAGGGCCATGGTATCAGACACAGCCCATGCCAAGAAGAATTGCTTCCATGTCCACGTATTCATGGAGACCTAGCTTCAATAACTAGATCACACATTGCAACCTACTATTTATACATATTTACTTACCAGCTGCCCAAAGAAAGCCTTAATTTATTCTGGCCTAGATCACGCAACACACATAGTGACAGACAAAAGCTGTAAATTACCATCCTTTATCATGCTGAAGTAGGAATATGCTATCAAATATCACGCAACAAAGAGTTAAAGGAAGTCAAGAGCCGACACACGATGAACAAGCCCGGCCGTGCCCACCTAGCAACAGAACGGCGCCAGCCGCAGTGGTGCACAGCGTTCGCACTCGGGATCCTTCGCTCGCAGCCCCGAGGCGTGCCTG